TAACAAAGAACAGTTTCAAGCTGGTAAACTCCTCACATTTCACACTGTATGTACACAAAGATATGAAGCCTTTTCTAAACACACACACATTTTTTTCCTATTTGGCTAGGCTTCCATTTCTCATAAACAAAAGAAAGGTCTCGTTTTCTCCAGGGTTTCTTTTAAATATCATGTGCTATACAGGTGAGATTCGCCCCTTGAACTATGAATTAATGAACCAAGAATAATTACCATAGTCTAGGTTTGCATTCCTATTCACTAACCTGGATTTAAGAGAAAGGGCTGCAGCTCCGTGTTAGAGCACATGCTTCTCATGCAGAAAGTCCCTGGTTCTATCCCTGGCGTCTTCAGGTAGGGCTGGAAAAGTCCTGCCTGAAACCCTGTAGAGATTTTACCAGGCAGTGTTGACAATACTGAGCTTGATGGGCCAAGGGTCTAACTTAGTTTAAGGCCTAGTATATTGGCAGTGTGGGCACAACCTGTTTCCTGCTCATGACTTCAATAAATCTGCTCACCTCTATATCAGTGGGCGGCGTTGCACACAGGCCTCAATATACACCACCTCACCCCTATGCAATGGCCGGCTGCTTCACCTGTGTTGAGGGACAGCCCTAGCCAATCAGCTTGCAGGGTGGGTGTGGCCGTGGGCCATTTAATCTTGGTGCAACCAGCCAGCTCCCTCTTCCTTGCCTCTTCATCGGGTCTCCCTACCCACCTACCATGTTTTCGTGCTTTGCTCTGAGATGACCTTGCTATGGCAATTGTCAGTCGCCATGTTGTTGTGGCCAGGTAGGAATTTTTTCCACTTGGCAAATTGGCACCCGCCATTTGGTTCCCACCTACCTAGTAGCAATCGTCACAACTTTTGTGAGGTTAGGCATTGGGTATGCCTTTGGTTGGTTGGAAGGGAGGTTGTTGCCTTCTCCTGCCCCTTCTCAGTAAGGGATCCGGGGTGTGAGTACAGTCTGAAGCCTGGGCATGGGCTAGGGCCATGTCACAGCCCCTACGGGGACCCCTCGAGGTGGTGCCACTATCTGATGTAAGTTATAGGGCACCCCCTATCAGTGGTTTACCCTTCCGTGGACTCCCTGCAGATGGGCAGGAGTCAAGATGTAGCCTGGCTTCACCCCAATGCCTAAGCCAAATCATGCACATCTATAATCAATAAAGTTGTGGCCTATTTGAACCTATAAACCAAAATATTCCGTGTCAGTGTGATTTATTGTTCTCCTGGGAACTTTGTGGCTCGGGTGTCTTGGTGCACAAATGCAGGAGTGCTGAAAGTCTTTGGCCCGCCTTTAACTCCCTTGTCATCATTATGCAGCACAAAAAATGTATACTCTGATAGGGCATGCTTTTAAAAAAATCAATTAGCCTATAATATGTGGTTCGTTGCAGGCAGAAATCAAAAGGTTAAGACATTGGGGCACCTGGAAGTGCTAAGAAAATTGCCAGCTTTCCCCAAATAATAGCGGGTGGTGCTGTGGGTTAAACCACAGATCCTAGGACTTGCCTAGGACTTGCCGATCAGAAGGTCGGCGGTTCGAATCCCCGCGATGGGGTGAGCTCCCGTTGCTTGGTCCCTGCTCCTGCCAACCTAGCAGTTTGAAAGCACATCAAAGTGCAAGTAGATAAATAGGTACTGCTCCAGCAGGAAGGTAAATGGCATTTCCATGCGCTGCTCTGGTTCGCCAGAAGCAGCTTAGTCATGCTGGCCACATGACCCGGAAGCTGTATGCTGGCTCCCTCGGCCAATAAAGTGAGATGAGCACCGCAACCCCAGAGTCGGTCATGAATGGACCTAATGGTCAGGGGTCCCTTTACCTTTACCTATGGTTATAATAGTTCAAGTGGCGGTCTAAAATATTCCCAGTCATCCATAAAGCAAGCCCAACCAACCTCACAGGATTATTTAAAGGTGACTTGAAAAACTATATGTGGCATCTAGTATATGCCTTTCTGAGCTCCTTTGAGGAAGGGCAGAATAAAACAACTTAAAATATCTGAGCTTTCTTTATGTCAGGGTTTGAAAACTTGTGGCGCTCCAGATGTTGTACTCCAGTTCCCATCACCCCTGACCATTTTGGCCATGCTGGTTGGAGCTGATGCGGGTTAACAATGTCTGAAGGGACCCATTTTCCCCAACCTGGTTAACAGGCTTGAGGCCTTGTCCTGAATTGTCCCACAAAAGTGAAGGAATCACATCTTCTCCTGCACCTCAGGACAGCATGGGGCACAGGACAGGCTGTCTGGCACACCCAGGTCTCTCCTCCAAGAGAAGGAACAGTCATAGAGATCAGGAGGAACGTCCAGGGCAAGTGCCACCTCTGCCCCCAGGACCTGCCCCCCAAGGTGGCCACCTCAATCTGCCTAACAGTAGGGCCGCTTTTATGGGGTAATTTTTAAAAGGGTACTAAAAGAAACCTCTGCCTTCCCTTTAGGTGTCTGTGGAGGAAGCTTAGCATCTTATTGGCTGAATAATACTCCCAGCATTCCAAGGGCCATAATTTTAATATGTCTAAAGTTGCCACCAACAAGTAAACAAACCGTGCAATGCACACAAGACAGCATGAAGGGACAGTTGCAGAGCTAAGTTCTGAAAATCATCTTTCGTGAGAACTGAACTTGATCATTTTGGGGACTACAGTGGTACCTCGGGTTACATACGCTTCAGGTTAAATATGCTTCAGGTTACACACTCTGCTAACCCAGAAATAGTGCTTCAGGTTAAGAACTTTGCTTCAGGATAAGAACAGAAATCGGGCTCCGGCGGCACGGCAGCAGCAGGAGGCCCCATTAGCTAAAGTGGTGCTTCAGGTTAAGAACAGTTTCAGGTTAAGAACAGACCTCCGGAACGAATTAAGTACTTAACCCGAGGTACCACTGTATATGATTCTCAACTTCATATGTTACAGAGGGTCCCTACATGTTTCCACTTTAGAGCTTGAAATCCCAGGCAGTCTTCTCTGCCTATGTGGTCTTTGTATATGCAGCCATCATATATTAACGTTTTGACCTCGCAGTTCTGACTGCTTTAAAATCTCTCCAGCCCAATTCTGTGCATATCTTGTCCAGAAGAAAGTTCTCCTAAGTTCAGCAGGTCCCTCTTTCAGATAGAGTTTGCAGCTAATGCAGCCAAGTTGGAGAAAAGCCCACCTGGCCTTTAGCAGCTGCATGAAACTTTCCCCAGCAGGCTGATAAACAGTATCATCTACCCTATCAAGATGTAGTTAAAAACACTTCAATACTAGCTGGATAAAAAGTTACTGACCTTCGCCTTTCTTACAGGGCTGCTGTGATGACAAAATAGGGGCCAAAGAGCCATCGACACTACCCTGAGCTCAATGAAAGAAAGGTGCAATCCTGTGCATGTCCACTTAGAAGAAAAACCCACAGAGTTCAATACGTTTTAGTTCCAGCCAGATAAGTGGGTATATAATTGCAGCAATAATGACAATGGCATTTAATATATCTTGGTCTTCTGCAATAAATACCCATAACAGCTTACCAAAAAAATTAGAAAAGTCTGTATACATACCCTCCAACATTTCTCCAATGAAAATAGGGATGTCTATTTCATGATGATGATGATGATGATGATACTCTGTGTGGCTTCCAACACATATACAGTGGTACCTCGGGTTACATACACTTCGGGTTACAGACTCCGCTAACCCAGAAATAGTACCTCGGGTTAAGAACTTTGCTTCAGGATGAGAACAGAAATCATGCTCCGGCGGCCCGGCGGCAGCAAGAGGCCCCATTAGCTAAAGTGATGCTTCAGGTTAAGAACAGTTTCAGGTTAAGAATGGACCTCCAGGACGAATTAAGTACTTAACCCGAAGTACCACTTTAAAAGCATAATAAAACTATATAGGGCTGACTTCAGATATTTTCTAAAGGTTGTATAGTTACTTATCTCCTTGGCTCTGGGGTCACATAACTCCATACCCTCCAACATTTCTCCAATGAAAATAGGGACGTCCTAAGGAAAAGCAGGACCTTCTGGGATCAAATCAAAAACTGTCGTGGCTTCTGTAAATTTGGGGTGTCCCTGGAAAATAGGGACACTTGGAGGGTCTGTTGTATATAAATTCATAAACATGTTTCAAGAGCTGGTTAAAAACAACCACCACAACCCAAAGATATCTTTGTAATAAGGATCTCCTAGTCAAATCTCACTTTATCACCAACTATTAGAGTTTCTGGAATTTGCACATCATTCACAAAAGTCACGTTCAGACTGCCTAAAATTCTTCACCAACTGTTCACGAGTAGGGGCACCATAGGCCACAATCACAACACAAATTTAAAGCCATGCATTTGAAACCACTTTAAACAGTCATGGATTCCTCCAAAGAATTCTGGGAGCTGTTGTTTGTTCACGATGCTGAGAGTTGTTAGGAGACCGCTACTCCTGACAGAGAACTGCAGTTCCCAGCATTCCCTAGGAAAGGGGGTAGATTATTATACCACTCTAGGAACTGTAGTTCTGTGCAAAGTAAAGAATGTCTTCCTTTATTAGCAATAAAGAATAAAATTTCAGGGATCCTGACTAGTGCTTAGAAAAACAGGGGGAAGCATTGGCCTTGACAGACATGTGAGCAAGAAAGGCCTTTCTTTTTTACAAAAGGAAGAAAATGAAAAACAACTTTTCCCAGAACTGAAAGTCCTCTCCCAGGCTAACATTTCAGAAATTGCTGACGTACGTGAATGAAAAACAGGCGATAACGGGGCACCTTGGGCTGTGCCTTCCCATGGCTCGGATCAGCCCCCCCTTTGCCAGCTGCGTTCCCTCCCCTCCTTCCCTCTCTTGCAAAAGTGAAACTTCCCAAGCCTTCAGCAAAGCACAGTTCTTGCTTGGCCCCCATCTGCAGGTGCAGCCGAGGCCTTGGCAAGGGGGAAGGATGGTTATCGCTTCGGAAAACAGCAACACTGTCTTGTAATCCTTCCTCAAGGTCTTGGCCAAAGGATAAATTCTGAGGGAGAGGGACGTGGAGCACAGAGGAGCCCCGGCAACTGATCAGGTAAGACTCATTGCGAGGAGTTCCTCTTCGCATTGGGAGCAGGAGACAAGTCCAGCGCCTTTGGTGTTCCGGGCACTTTTTGGGGAGGTTTTTCTACTTTTTCTTGCAACGCTATGGCCCTAGTAAGAGATTTCCTGGGGTTACAGAGGAGTTTTCTTGCATTGTGCCACTCTTTAAAGCAACGAAATCACTTTTTGTTCAGTCTTTTTCTTCCTGCCGCACGTTGGTCCATATGTGAGTGTCTTTTCTTTGAGATATCTAGTTCTTGTGTTTTAGATGCTGTTGAAAGAAGCAGTGAATGGGGGCACTGCAAATAAATTAATGTTGCCTCATGTGGAAATGTAAATGGGTGCATAGGGAATATATTTGTGTGTGTTTCATGTATGTTTTTCTTCTAGGTTTCTTGGCGACCTCTGTTGCAAACTGCAGGATTCCTCTCCATACTTGCTCGTTGTTCCTTTTTCCTATGCATATACTTCTTTGAGAATCTGATCTAAAGAGGCATACGGCATGGGAAAATGGGGCGATTGAGGTGCTCCACCGCCCTGCTCTTCTGCGGCAAGACATCTTCCACAGGCAAAATGTGGGGAGCCGGGGGGGGGACACGTCTGAGTAAACTGGGCTGTAGGGTTGATTTGCAAAACCGCTTGTATGAGAAACTTGCATGAATTCTAAAGATTATTATTTTGCATGCCAGTTAGGTTTTTGAATGTGAAAGGGTACTTAAAAACAGGTTCTTTAATCTAATAAGCAGGTTAGCTTTGGCTGTAATTCAAAGTGTAATGAATCATGCTTTTTAAAAAGTGAGTTAGCCTTTGATTTAGGAAATCTGTTATGTAGAGCTCATTTAGAATTGCCACCTTTTTGTAGTCAAAGGATCGGTGCTTTTAACGGCTGCATAGTAGGCAAAATTCAACAGGTGCAGCTTACCCCAGCACAGGCAATCAGTTAATAGGAAATGCTCTATCTGTTTATTTCTGTCTTGCTAAAGGCAAGTGTTTCCCAGTAAGGAAGCCTGGGTGTGATTATGTGATATTATATTGTTAGAATATAAGAGAACATAAAACTAATTTTCTTCTTTGTTTCATCCACAGATCATTTTTCATGTAACTCTCAATGTTAAAGCAGCGGGGGAATCATTGCCTTGCTTTTTTTAAAGATCTGTTTCGAGATTGTTGCATCCCTTTCAGTTCAATTAATTTTCTAATTCTTACTCATCTGTATAGAATTGCTGTGTAATATGCCTATATGTTTTCTGACAGAACTTTGCATAATGATGTGCTGAATTTAATGATGTATTGAATTTTAAGCATACACTGCAATAATGTTCAAAAAGTACAAGTTCATAAATGCTATCAATTTGTGGGAAAATGTGGTTGCTTTGATTGTTTTGTGTCACCTTTCCTGGCTTCATTCAGTTTGTAAATGTGCTTCCCCTTTGAGTTGCTGAAAAAATAAAAAGAACTCTTGACTGCACTTATGCCTCTTACTTATTTTGCATTAAGACGGGTGGAATGAGAGCGAGAGAAGAAATAGAAACTGTGTGTTATTGTAGCAATGCTTTCGCTTAGCCGGATTGGAAAATGAGTGTGGGTGATTCAATGTGTTTGTGGGTGCTTCAACATCTTTTAAATTAAATCTAGGTGCCTCTGAACACACACACACACACACAAAACCAATGATCCCAAAAGTGTAACGTTGCACAACAAGCAAACAACTGGTGCACTGGTTCACGGTGTGGTAATTGTATATTGAAACACAATGGCACTTGGGGTTCACTGCAGTGTGGTTAAGCAAAAGCAACATTTCAACATCTTCTTGAAAGGCTGCTCGGCAGCACACATGCTCCTAAACCCCATGGAAACCAGAGAAGTTTAAGTACACTTTTAAAACATTTAGGTTCCACCAAAACCGGGCATTCTGGGGTGCTGAGGTTACTCTGCATTGAGGACAGGAGCTGCTCATCTTGAAACCAGCTCTGTGTGTTGAAATCTCATCAAAAACAATGGGACTTGTTCAAACTGGGGTGGGGAGGGATAAAATTGGGAACTCTTGCACAGAAACACAGGTAATAATATATTATTATATACATTGCTCCATCTAGTTCAGTATTGCCTACACTGACTGGCAACAGCTTTCCAGGGTTTCACACAGGGGTCCCTCCGCTCTGTACCTGAAGACACCTGTCTGCTAACTAGATGCTCTGCCACTGAGTGACAGCTATTCCCCTTGCTTTTTAATTTATTGAGAGAAGCTAAGTGCAGGGGACAATTGGGTAGAAACTCAACAGGTAAAGTTTTCTCCATGAATAAGGATCCAGTGATAGGGAAAGCCTCATCTGTTCATTTATATGGACAGAGGCTTTGTGTCTTTAACAACTGCTTGAGAGACAAATCAATAGGAGCTTTCCTTATCACAGCACCCCCACTTTTGAACAGGAAAAAAACTTCACATGTTAAATTTATTTGCAGCTGCTAAAAACACAATGCTTCTATCCATATAAAAGGTGAAAAGAAAAGGGGTGCTAGGGCATTTCTTTTTACATATATTTAGTTGAAAATACACCTCCTCTCCTGCAACCCCCCCCTCTTTCAAATCCAGTATTAAGAACAACTGGGGTCAGTGATAATAGGGAATAAAAAGCCATAGAATGCATTTATTCCAATATTTCCTTGAAATTCTGTAATGTACTTTTAGGGCATGTTGTTGTTATTTTTTTAAAAAGTTATCTGGCTCATAGAGAAATCCACAGCTCAGTAGTGCAACCCTATGTATATTTACTCAGAAGTTAAAGTCTCACTATGTCCTAATGGGTCTTACATGGAAGTCTGCACAGGATCACAGCCCACGTTTGCAATGTGCTGCTTAAATATGTGAATTGTTACTCAGTTTCTAGCTCTGTGCCCGGAACCAATCATTTCGTTCATTCATAGATATCTATTGGGGCACATGTCTCTTGATAGGCTATCGAACGAAATGGTTGAAGCTCCAGCTCTCTGAGTAGCAGAGCTTAGAGATAAGCATTTGGGGTCCTATCATTAAAAAACTTAGCAATAAATAATAGATTTAACTGGTCTGGGGTTTGTACAAGTAAGCAGCCAGCCTATGAGTGTTAGTTCAAGGGTATTGAGGAAAGCAACACAGTTTGAGGACTCTCGTGGATTATAGATACAGGGAGAATCAGGCTGCAATCCTATGCCCAGGTACTTGGGAGCATGCCCCATTGAACTCAGGGTGGGGTCAGGGGGCATCTCCAAAAATATTGATGTTCGGCCTTCCTTCTCTTTTCCAAGAAAACTAATATAAAGGTAGACAGAACTCCTGAAGCTCTAGTAGTTGGGTAAAAGAGGGGGCGCTGGGTGTACAACAGGCACAATGTGGGTTGCCATACAGGTTCAGCTCAAGGATGAGAAAAGCTTCACCTATTAAAATGCTCCCCCCTGCCCTTTGCATCTGAACACCCTACAATCTTTCCAGTTTCTCAGTTCCTCCCAGCCTCCAGTGCTGATTTATTGCTCCCGTTCCCACCTACAGTGGTACCTCGGGTTAAGCACTTAATTCGTTCCAGAGGTCCGTTCTTAACCTGAAACTGTTCTTAACCTGAAGCACCACTTTAGCTAATGGGGCCTCCTGCTGCCGCCGCGCCACTGGAGCACGATTTCTGTTCTCATCCTGAAGCAAAGTTCTTAACCCAAGGTACTATTTCTGGGTTAGCGGAGTCTGTAACCTGAAGCATATGTACCCTGAAGCGTATGTAACCCGAGGCACCACTGTATATCTCAACAAAATAATGGTGAATGCTTAAAACAGGGAAAGCTTCTAGATATTCAAAATGCAGCTAGGGAGCCAAAGGAAAGCTGGGAGCCTCCTTTGGCAATTAACCTGCTGCTTTTCTGGTCTGATCCTGCGCAGAAACAACGGAACAAGCACCATGATGGGGTGGAATTAGTATCCACTTTTGGCTCCTTATAGACATGCATTTTTCAGGTGCGTTTTAAGCGGCTGTCAATGCATTGTTCCTCAGATGCTCATGGCATAGGTTGTATTGTTAAATACAAACTTCTGTTAAGCTATTAGAATGGAACAGTGGTTGCCCCAAAAGGTTGGCACAATCTGGTTTACTAGTGGCTTGCAAATAACTTTGTGGCCCAGGTGTCCATGCAAATGTAGCAGAACAGGTTAAAAGGATCTCCCCTCTACAGAAGCCAGGTATAGCTATTGTGGTATCTGTTTGCCCAAAGAAAGAGAGCCTCAGGGCACATGCAGAGTCCCGTTATCTTTTTAAACCGCAACTTTTTATAGAATAGTCAAAGTAGTACCTTTTCATAAAAGGGATAATTTCATCCAGTTCAGCTTTTTTTCTGACCCCTGTGTGACAAACTACAGCTGATAAAAGAACGCAGCTCTGAATTATCACAAGAGATGATTCAAGTCCTCCTTTGACCTGACTACCCTAGTTCAGCACACAACAGCAGGATTTTGGTGAAACCAACACAATGTTGTTGTTGATGTTGTTTAGTCGTTTAGTCGTGTCCGACTCTTTGTGACCCCATGGACCAGAGCACGCCAGGCACTCCTGTCTTCCACTGCCTCCCGCAGTTTGGTCAAACTCATGCTGGTAGCTTCGAGAACACTGTCCAACCATCTCGTCCTCTGTCGTCCCCTTCTCCTTGTGCCCTGCCCTCCATCTTTCCCAGCATCAGGGTCTTTTCCAGGGAGTCTTCTCTTCTCATGAGGTGGCCAAAGTATTGGAGCCTCAGCTTCACAATCTGTCCTTCCAGTGAGCAACACAATAGGGAAGAATATAAACAAATAATGTATCAATACACTATTCTATCACTGAGGCTGCCAACATCTCTGGGCACCTGGCTACTCTCAGACACTACCCTTGGTGTTTGACAAGGTCTCCTCTCCCCATTTTTTTCTGTTGGGAACTTTTTGTGTTTGTTTGTTTTAGGAATATAGGTGCTTTACCTACAGGGGGAGTGTTCTGAGCATCACTAGCTTTTCTTCTATGAAATGGGTATTTTGTGGTTGCCACAACAATTCCTTACATTTCCTGCTGTGTCTCTAGTCCCAAAAATATTAGAGCCCCTTATTAATCTGTTATCTCTAAATTATATTATCCAGGTGGCAATCTTAAGCATACTTAGCTGGAAGTAAGTTCTATAGAAATGTGTGAAGAAGTCTCTTCCAAGTAGATTGATTCAGGGCTGCATTGCTCCCTGTAAGAGCTTTGTAGAAAAGATTTGCAATTGGCTGTTCAAGGCAAAAATCCAGAACTTTCTTTGTGTAGATACGAAGCAGGGCTTCAGTGAAAGTGGAAGTAGACAAGAAGAGGTAAAACGTGTTCTCCGTAACAGAGAGCACGTGTTGCGGGGGGGCCAGCAGGCCACCCCACTGTTGCTGGGCAGTTCCGTTTGGATGTCCACAGGCAGTGATTGCGTAATTTGAGTCCCTGGGGAGATTTCAATGTTGCCAATTTGGGGGTGGGGACAAAGGTTTTAACTACTGGACACACAGCTTTGGGCGTCCTCTTGGGCTGCGTGCACCGGATCACCCGCCCACCTTCCCTGAATTGGGGGTGTGTTTTTTTCTTTGACCTTGCTGTGCCTGTCATGGGCCCGCCTGCTGTTGGGGCAGGGGCCTGGTAGGAATTTTGTCCATTTGGCTGATTGATTGGTGCCATTTGGGTTTTGCCTACTGCATAGCAAATCGTCACAACTTGTAAGGTTGCGGTTAGGCATTAGTTAAAATTTGGTTGGTGGAGGGGTAAGGATTGGCTGGGCCTACCCATCCAATGGTGGTGCTGGAAGGGAATTCCATTAAAGGAATCCAGGGGCTTGCCATGCATTCGTCCAAGCCCCTGGCATCAGGCTTGGGCCGTGCAAGCCCCCGGAAGCATGCGGGGAGAGGTGAGGGCCTGTGACTCAGCTCCATTTTCTCCCCGATATTGTTTTCCCTTACTGGCTTGCGGTGGTGTCCGGAAGTCAGTTCTGTCCCCAGGCGGGGGGGGGGACAGATAGTCATAACCAATGCCTAAACAACCACTCACATTTGTGTATTTAAATAAAGCTGTGGCCAAAATCATGCCAAAAACCTTAAACAAAATTTGATGTGTGAAGTCTGAGTTTGTTTTTGGGTGGCTTGGGGACCTCGGCACACAACAGGCAGCAGCAGAGTGAGTCTAGTCTCTGAGTAGATCAGCTTTGCTGCCGTGGTGGGTAAGACTGTACCTACTTCAGAGATCTTAGAAGGGGCAGTCCTTGTAAAATGTAGCCCACAAACAACTAGAACCAATGCAGGTAACCTCTAGGTTATATTACTGCACACCCTCCAACATTTCTCTGATGAAAATAGGGATGTTCTATTCCATAATAATATTTTTACTGTTTATACCCCGCCCCTCTGACAGGGTTGCCCCAGCCACTCTGGGCAGCTTCCAACATATATAAAAAACATTAAACATTAAAGA